AGGTGTGTGTGTGGTGGTGGTGGGNGGGGGTGGGGGGGTCTACGAGGAAAGTATGTCCTGAAATAGGACAGATGCAGATGCGAAATAGACCAGGAAGGAATATATTAAGAGGAACCAGATAGTACAGGCCCAGAGGTAGGTAATTCCTAAAATAGAACCAGTCTCCATGGGCCGACAACGGGGTAGGTAAATCCAAAAATAGAACAAGCGCAATTAAGAAGCAATGCGGAAAACTTTAAAGTAGCACAACCACCAAACCCTACACCCTGCGCCCTGGAGCATCTCACTCGGACACAGTTGAGCCTATCACTAAGCGGACAAATAGATTTTTAGGGCTATAGGGTTATAGGGTTTAGGGTTGAGAGAAAACCAACTAAGATTCTCTCAGCAACGGTCCGTACAACATAGCACTCACCGTCCGCATCATGCACCGGAATAAAACTCAACAGGACAGCCCCCAACTTCAGAAGTTCGGGATCCTGCGGGTAAGATGTCACGTGACGGAATAAGGCCCACCAGTGATCTCGCAATACAGTAGGCAGAGGATATGAGTGTGGTAGTGCGCCATTGGCGTTGTCATGGCAACCGGGCGTACTGAAGGGAGTCTTTTCGGGGAAGTAAACTTTTAGCAGATGTCCAATCAGCTGCGAGCTCTGCGCTGCGGAGTATTTGCGCAGATCTTGGAGTAGATGACGCGTGAGGTGCGCCATGATGTCTGAGTGAGAAATAAATAGCAGAGATGGTATATCAAAAGACACGCGATGGATGACAATATAACACCAGAAGAGGGCATATATATATATATATATACATATACATATACATATACTTACACACACACACACACACACACACACACATATATATATATATATATATATGCTTACATGATATGTATGTAAATGGATATATATATAAATACACTTACATGTCGATATATATATACATGGGACAGGAGCAGGTACTTTACCCAACTACTGTACCATAACACAGTTTAATAGACCCAATTTCTCTCTATTTCCTAACTAATAGATAACAAATAACACTTAAGAATTCATCTGTGTACAATACAATGCGTGTGGGAATCGAGAGAATTATAAAACAAAGTCAAACAACAAGGGCTTCTCCTTCTCGATTTTTTTTAAATAGCTATATAATCTATATATTGTTTATAGTTATATATATGATATATTCTATATAGCTATTTATCCTTATTATATATAGCTATATATTCTTATTATATATAGCTATATATTCTTATTATATATAGCTATATATTCTTATTATATATAGCTATATATTTTTATTATATGTAGCTATATATTCTTATTATATATAGCTATATAATTTTATTATATATAGCTATATATTCTTATTATATATAGCTATATGTTCTATATAGCTTTATATACTATATAAAGTATATATGATATATTTTCTCTACTATACTCTATATATTCTATATACCTAACATGGCATATCTACACACCTAAATATAGGTCAATACGTATTGACGCGCATCACATTAACTGTGTTTCGGGTCAGATGATATGACGGACGCAAGTTTGAAATGGCAATCACTTACACAACCGCATACGGACCACTTGAAATTGAGCCATCCATAGAAATATATATAAATATACATACAAAAACACAGACACAGACGCACACACACACGCAAACACACACCCACACCCACACCCACACACACACACACATATATTTATATATATATGTGTAGATACATAGAAATATATGTACACAACACACACACACACACACATACACAAACACACACACACACACACATATATATATATACACCTTCTCCCGGGTGGACAAACATAGCATGGTCTGCGTCATTAATAACATCGGGCAGGGCCTGTTGCGCTGTGGATGTGTGTTCATGTACAAACGTATGCTTAAGTGTGAGCATGTGTTGTATTGCGAGTAGCTGTGTGCGAGTGTAGGTAGTAGCGATGTAACGACATGTGAGCTAGTACGTATAAAGTTATACCCTGAGGTGTCGCAGATATCATTCGGTGTACACATCGCTGAATCTCGGATATACATATACATAAAAATAAATTTATATATATATATATATATATATATACACACACACACAGAGACACACAGACATATATGTATACATACATACATACATACATACATACATATATATATATATATATAAATGTAAACAGACGCACACAGACACACACACATGTACACACACACACACACACACACCACACACAGATACACAACACACAGACACACAGATATATATATATATATATATATATATATATATATACATACGAAAATAAATGAATTTGCATAGTAGCGCCTGAACGCATAGAAGAGTCGCTTCCGTTCTATAAATAGAACACGTACTGGAATAACAAAAGGTGTATAATCGGAGGAAGCGCTGATAAACCCTGAACCCTATAACCCTACATCGATATATTAATAGAACACATACCGGGATAACAATTGGAGTACAATCGGAGGAAGCGCCGGAATGTGGCCCACTCACAGCTATTGCACGTCCCATGGGATCGGCCATTTCTATTTATAGATTTATCGTCCTCCAATGAGATCGCTTCGTTGGGTTCGGACCGACGAGTTCTATTTATAGCATCACCGTCATCCAATGGACTTTCTTCTTCGCAGGCGCTTGGTATGATTCCGGGAGTCGTCGTGGCACTGAGAAACACCCTGTTAAGACCAGTTTTAAGAAAAAAATCTGTTAAACTGATGTGGAGAAAAACACAAAACCAGTGCTGAGAAAAACTCTGCTAAACTAGTGCTGAGGAGAACCTGTTAACCTAGTGTTAAGAAAAACCATGTTAACCTAGTGTTAAGAAAAACCCTGTTAACCTATAGTGTTGATAGAAACACTGTCAAACCAGTGTCAAGAAAGAACCTGTTAACCTAGTGTCATTCAAAGGCTATACCGAATACGCACACGACCGACTAAACGCTCTCCGATGACATTCTCACAGTCAAACGGAAGATGTGGCATAGGTGTGCGATGGTGCCAAATAAGTTGGAATACAACAGCGAATCTAAAAATAGATTTTTACCTACACGGCGAGTAGTCATCCTTCAACCTCCGCTCAGTGTACTCTAGCAGTGTCTAAAAATAGAACGTATACCTACCGGGCCATTATCCGCACAGCCGCTTCTTGACCCTCGTGTACACCCAATACCTCCACTACACCCAGCAGAAAGGTATTGGGGGGTGCGACAGTCAACGCGTTGCCTAGGAACGTCAGCGTGTATGGCTCGAGGGCTTCCAGTAGCACTTGCTCCTAATAGGGTATAGGGTTTTAGGGTTTAGTCATAAGAAAGACTTCAGTCTTCGCTGAGTGTAAACACTTCAACCAAAGTATACCGTTGTGAAGTTTAGGGTTTGGTCTGTGTGGTGGTGTTGATTGGTAGATATTTATAGCATTTCGGGTTCAGCGCCAATTGGCGACTCACCGGCGTTCAAGGGAGGGTCAGTACACAAGTGATAATCTATACTCAACACAGTACCCACATTTATCTAAACCACCTTGACTATATAT